ACCTTAATGATTCCTAGTTTTACTCATTAAAAAATAATCCAGCCACCAAGCCAGGAAACATGAAATTAATTATTACTCTACCCTTAATTGGTTTAGTGGTAGACTTGGTAGTGTAGGTTAATGGTTGGACTGGATGATCTTAAAGGTCTTTTCCAACCTAAACGATTCTATGATTCTGTGAATTACTTGCATACTCAAGACCTCATTAAATCCTTATTTCAAACTTTATATGAGATAAATAAGGCAGATGTATTACTTTTTAAAAAGACATGGAAAAAATTTGAATAGTGGCTTTTTTACAGGCTGGCATTCTTTATAACTTCAGTCAGAGTAAGATGCTATTTATTGTGAGAATAGCAGATACATTTTATGGACTAGGTCTGAAGAGACTGGAAAATAAACAAGATTAATTTAAAATATATTGATGAACTTAAAATATACCTAAACAATATATAACCTAAATTACGTATAACCTAATATAACCTAAATGATTCTATGATTCTAAGTTAGATTGGAACAGCTGGATCCTTATCGAATTTTAAGGGTGCCTGTTAGGGAAAAGGAGTAGCTGAGTCCTGACACTGGGAAAGCCTGTTTTTCCCAATTCCAAGCCATCTCATCTTCATACACAAGGATTTCTCTTAATATATGAAGCACAGTGTATTTTAGAGCTTGGGGGGCTTTAAGGTGAGTCTGTGGAAGATGTTCATAAACTGGGAGAGTCGGGGGCACCCCCCGCTGTCTCTTTCATTGTGAATTGCTTCAAATAGGATGGAAAAAAATCTCCTTTGAGCATCTGACTGGCAAACACTGCAGTCAGATACAGAGTGAGTCAGATATTTAGACAACATTCTGCATTTTATTAGCTGCTGCAAACTGCTTTCCACAACACAACTACTTCTTGCAAGCACGTTCCTGCAGTAGGTGGAACAGAAAAACCTAGTCCATTTACTATCAGCTTAAGCACTTGAAAATAGTCTTTAATTAAACCTCTCCCTGCCTGTGCCATCTGAGCATGCCTGTTAGCCTGTTTCATAACTTCTGCACGATGCTACTGAGAGCAACGATCACTTCTGGCATCCGGCTTGTACTGTTACTGCTGTATCTGCTGCTTGTACTCAAACCCCGCCAGCTGTTCCAGAAATATATGCTGTTTTAATAGTTTCTGGTCACTCACAAACACTGTCTGGATTCTTATTTTGTAAATGTGCCAGGAAGGAGAACATTTGCCTGCAAGTGAAGAGCCTCAGAAACTTACTGTAGTTGGGAGTCTGAGTGTGACCTGTGACACAGAGTAAAACAAGTCTCTTGGGTCTAGTAAGTTTATCCAAACCCAGTAACAGTTCGAGCAACTTTATTAATGATAACATTGAACATCTTGTTTACAGTCTTTGCTGGCAATTAGCTAGACCAAAGAAAGGGACAGGGAGTGGATGCACGTATAAACCCATTTTCTGTAAAATAAATACATAAATGACCTCAACTGCAGAGAAGAGATTATCTGTTGTGGCTCATGTATGCAATCTGTCTCCTGTGAGTCAAGAAACTGGTGTTTAGCTTGGAGTCCAACTCCAAATTCTTCACCATAAACACTGGGCAAGCACTCATCGAGCTTCCTGAAGGGACAAACCTCACTAATCCACACATTCTATAGCTCATTCAAAGCAGCGAACATGGAGCTGGAGGGAGCAGGGGAAACACTGACTGATTACTATTTTGGAGTGGCTGTGGATAAAAATGCCTAAGTGAGTCAGGTGCCTACCACCCACTGATTTTCTCTGCACTTAGCAGATGTCTACATCGCCTGTGAAATTTGGGGTTTGGCAAGTATTTTTGTAAATTTTGCATGCATGAAGTAATGAAGAAGGTGAACTAAGACTAAACAAGCTATCAAAATAAAGAATCAAGTTACATTTTACCATAAATGTCTTTATTTTTGTTATTGGAGTTGTGTACTTTTTCATAAAAGTATCGACCTAGCAAAACACTTGAACATCAGTCAAAGTCATTGAAGCTAGCAGGATTACTTGCGTGGTGACAATTAAGCACAAATGTGAATGACAGAGATTAGGTGCTACTGCATACAGTCAATTCATTTGCGATAGGTTTCCCAAGAATTCTAAAATAGTCTAAAATAGACAAGACCACACTGTGTTTTCATGGTAAGTGGGCACATTTGGACCATAAGCACTTTTTGACACTCTGCCTGGGGTCATGGTGAACACCATAGGCTTCAGAGGAGCTGGATTCTCATTGTGTGAGATCTGCTCCTCTTAGGAAATATATCTGTGAAAACTAGACCTGTGCTTTTTTGCAATGAATAGAGTAGCAAATTTTCAGATCTTAGCCTTACAGTAACAGCTTCTAGGAGGAAGGTGGAAATTTGAATCAATATGGTTTTGATAATCTTTGAGAAAATTCATTTAAGAAAATCGTAAGGCATTATCCTGCAGTAGATCTGGTCATCACTGACCAGATTAATCTCAGTTTAGGTCTTAATGCAGTCAGTAGGATTTATTATAATGGATTAACATTTGTATAAAAGGCATACACAAGTCAAGTACAAGTATTGCTAAATTAACTCCTCATACAAAGTATACGAATAATGCACTGTAAACAACTGCTTCTCATAGGTGCTTCAGTTTCCAGGCTTTAATAGTTGCTTGTCATCTTTGGTTAATGCAAGATTTTTTCTGTTCTCAGGAGATCCACTACAACAGCTGAACTTTTACAAACTGAGTCCTTGCTCGACTGCCTGATTCCATATACTTTGAAGAACAAAGTTTTGTTCAACCAGATCAACGTGTAAACCAAAACAACCAATTGTACTGTATTTTTTACGTTGCTAACATACAAACATGTGCATATGTGTATATATAGATATATACGTGTACATATATGTATCTCCACGTATGTGAACACATACCGCCTCACTCTGCCCCAGGCAGCACCTAGGCTGACAGATGCATTTAGCATCTGCCATAAGGCCAGCCAACAGGAATGCATGCCAACATCTGGGGGCTGTTTAAACACACACAGACACATACAACTATGGATTTGTAAAGTGAGCACAAGAATTGTTTTGATCCTGACCGAATATGGCCCTGTAGAAAGAAGGAAAGTCCCATGACTCTCCAATAAACCCAATGAGTTGCACAGGCACAGCCCCTTCACTTTGAACGTATCTGGTTCCTCCCCATGCTGCTGCAACTGTGGTCTCAACATTTCTGCCTCAAGCATCACTATCTGTTTCATTACGCAGCAGTGTAATCTGAAAATCCACTGGCTAGTCTCAAAAGCTAAACCAGTTTCTGATACAAAGAAGGTCACTTAAATCCACTGTCTGTCTGCAGGTTTGAAAACTAGTCCAAAATATCCAGAAACTGAATTCTATTACAAATTGCTCTAAATATTAATGAAAGATTCAAGGGGGATTTAGAGAGAAGTGGAAGCTGTGTATATAACTGTGTAAGAAAAGTTAGGAATTAATTGGTCTTTCTGCATCACAGAGAATGTTCTCCAGTACCATTCTCACTAGAACCACATTAAAACTGTTAGTAAATCATGTAAGTTAGATACCCGATGCATCACCTAAATTCATCTGTTTGCAAGGGCAGGACTTCCCCTGACTATATTCTGTAGTGTTTTGTTTATTTATAAATGTCTCTGTGAACTCCATGGGAGACTATTTCACAGGTTCATGGCAAGAAAGCTTTTCCTGATTACACTTGGCTCTGTTCCCCTTACATTATTTTCATTTCTAGCTATCGCCTGTAACTTCTTCTGTTATCACAACTGGTAGGATGTTTTTTTCTAGTTTTTTGCTATCTGTAAAGGAGAGGGATGAACAAATGTGAAGAACAGTGTACTTGTCAGCGATGTGCTATAGCAAGGATCTGGTTCTCAATAGTAACATTTCATGCCATTTCATGGGTGCAACCATGGCAGAGTAATAGCCATTTTCTCACAGCGGACTTACCTAATTTGTGGCTTGGCAGAAAATTTCATACTTCAGTCCTTAGAGCAAAGAACTGAAATTTAGGCACGCATCAAAACTGGTTTAATTCTTTAAAGCTGCTGAGCAAGCACTGTTCTCATGGACTTCATTAGGAGAACTAGGCCACCTATAAGTAGTTCTGTATGGATTCTGCAATCCATTTTAACCTTTTAATACTGGTACTTTTGACCAGCGTCCTTTACCTTCTCTACAGTCAATCAAAAAATGAAACACTTGGCCATGTTCCAGACAAGAGCTCCATATGTATTCCCTTGCTGAGTAGCCACAGTTACCTTACAGTATTTTTAAAACCCTGTGGAGTCCTGGCAGCACCCTAAACCCCTTCTGAGACTTGGAGAAACTGCACACCTCATCTACACGTTTCCCTTGTACTCATCCTGAACTCAGCCCAACCTCTGATTGACCACCAACCCCATCTGACCTGGAGGAGACGACATTAGCGTTGTCCTGGGGCCTTGGGCTGTTCTGTCATGCACCAGGGTACATGGATGGATGAGACATGTGGAGAGGGCCAGGTCTTTCACAGCATACTAGGATCCATTGCCAGGATCCATCCACAGGGGGATTTTTATCCATACAGAGTAGCCTGGTATGTATTTCTAAGGCAGGCCAGCTGGGCTGCCCCTAATCCATCCCTGACAGTTCTCCAGCAGGCGAGTGAGGTGGTAGTAACTCACGTACACTCATAGCCAGTGAATCTAGTATCAGTGCTGTCTAGAGTGCTAGCAGACACAGTAAGTATTCCCCCCTTCACCAAGTCCTGCAGAGTCCTGAAGACACAGGATGAAGGTACATCACCACTGAATCAATAAAACTATACTTTGGACCAGCCAGTCTCTCTTTAACTTTCTTTAAAACATCTCAATAGAAAACAAGCCATAATCTATAATAAACAGAAAAAAAATAGGACAGACTCTCTCACAAAAAATTACACATTCACAAAATAATTACACCATTTTCTTGTTAGTCAGTGAATCCGTGTTTATAATTTGGTCAGATCATCCTGTAACCAGTCTGTAATCATGGCAGCCATCTCCTTGCTGGCATCTAGTACAAAAGCATGGCGGAGCCCTTTCTCACAAAGTCGAATGTCCCCGTCTGGAAAATCCATTTTGATCTCTTCGTAGTACTGCTGTGGACACCAGCTGTCTCCAGTTCCATAGTAAAAAATCAGCTAGAAATCAAAGCATATCAGATCATTAATTTGAAAAGTTACTGATGAAACAACCAATACCCAAAGAAAGAACACTGAATTATTTGGAAATAAGCAATGCTTTATGACCCAAGATGTACTGTGAGGAATAGCAAATTGGTAGTTCTTGGTTGTTTCCAAGTCTGCAATTATGATGAAGCCAATTAAAAGCTCTGTGACTCAGTTTCCTAATCTGTAAAACTGTGGAACACAATACAGGCTTAACTCTGAAAATGGAGATCTGCTGATGAAAGTCTGGCTGTCTTAAGAAATCTGTCATTATGGATCAAAACATCTAGTTGTCCATGGAGTCCAAGGTAAGCCAGGTAAGCTCTTGTGTCTTCCCCAGGTATTAGCTGTCTTCTGTGTTAGCTTTCTAGCTATTTAACCAAACAGTAAAATTATCAGTAAACTTGATGCTATGTCCCAGCTGAAGGGGCTACCCATTATGGCTTTCTTCTGGATATAAATGAAGAGAAAGTAGGAGGTTACTCCATGTTTGTGAGCAGCTCAGTCTTACTGGCATTTGTTAGGTGTGATCTCAAACCACCTGCTTGGTTGGGGCCTTAGGTGGAGGAGCACCTATTTTTCTTAAACTCAATGTTAGATGTAAACTAGAGGTGATTCACTCAGTCATGTTAGAATAACAGCAATTATGGCCATTCTCAGAAGCAAAACTTTTTTTGCTTGGAGAATTTTAGAATCATAGAATCATTGAATAGTTTGGGTTGGAAGGGACCTTTTAAAGATCATCTAGTCCAACTCCCCTGCCATAAGCAGGGACATCTTCAACTAGATCAGGTTGCTCAGGGCCCTGTCCAACCTGACCATGAATGTTTCCAGGGATGTTTCCAGGAGCATCTACCACCTCTCTGGGCAACCTGTTCCAGTGTTTCACCACCCTCATCGTAAAAAAATTCTTCCTTCCATCTAGTCTAAATCTACCCAGTCATTATCCCTTGTCCTGTCGCAACAGGCCCTGCTATAAAGTCTGCCCCCATCTTTCTTATAAGCCCCCTTTAAGTATTGAAAAGCTGCAATAAGGTCTCCCTGGAGCCTTCTCTTCTCCTGGCTGAACAACCCCAACTATCTTATCTTTGCGAATTGCTGCCTGGGTAGAGCACAGGCACTTCCCAGAGATCAATGAGCAATTTTCTTCTGGGTTGTAATGTGGAACGAAAATTCCACCAAGGTCCATTTTGTTTTGATATTGCCCTAATAACCTTGTTCAATGACATACATGAAGCAGGTGCTACAGGGCCCACCTGAACACAAAAGTCATAAATTCCAGGCAAATATCATATTCAATGCAGTGTCTTTTTCCTCTGTTGGAAACACTGAATGTCACTCTTGCCCATGTCATCATTTCCCCCCAGTTTCATCTCAACGTTGCATGCTATAGCTATGTTTTAAAATTGCTATAAAGTATTTGAAAGGAGAGTGGTTGTCTGGGAGAGAGTAAAAACCTATGGATTTAAAACTATACAGGAACAAGATTAATGATGAGGACTCTTTATACTAAAATGTTTGAATGCAGGTACCAGAAAGATGTTGATTGCTCAACATATCACACACACAGCTTGGCCCAATTCCATTACTCTCATTTGTTTCATATTTCAGTTCTGTACTTCACTGAATAATTGAGCAATGCTAACATAAATTAGGGGACAAGAAGTTTTCCTTTCATCACAAAAATCTTCAATTCCATCATTTTTGTAGCCATGTGGAATATAAATAAATGCACCCACTGGGGCAGAGGTGGGCTAAGAGCCCAGACTGCATTTCACAAAATGTTACAAATTTTTGTCTAACTTGCTTTTCTCTTGTTGAAGCATACCCAAATCTTGGATATTACTGACTATTGGCTGTATCCAAAATACAATATCTTAGTTGCATAGACACAAACCCAAGTTACACTTCTACACATATGTAAAACATAGAACATAAGCCATTCCATGTTAACAAACATTATTGGTTTCCTTTGTCACTCACTAATTGCTGGAAACAAGGTATGTCATTTGCTTTAGCAGAAAACTTATTTTGATCTTGCCTTTGATTCATAAATCACAGGATGTCACACTAGCAAAAATTCTTCAAAAAAGACAATGTAAAATGGCCAGCTGCATTCAGGCCTTTTGAAAGCCAAACATCTGATCGAATTATGTTTAACCCTGGGCTCCGTTACCAACAGATACAAAAATAAAGATGAAACCGAGAAAAAAAGAAATGGAGCAACTCCAGTTTAATGAATTAGTCCTTGAAATTATTAGATATTTTGATAGGCTAGTCACAGAGTCTCATCACATGACCATTTAGAAACAGATGAAAAGTCATTTACACTTACAAAGGTGGATAAAATACTTGGCTTAGTCTGCATGTACTGCAAAATGGGCTGTTCTCCAGGTAGGGTTGTAAACTTGAGAACTCACAGATTTGGAAATGCCTAAACAAAAGATTTATGTGCATTCTTAGCTTGCCTCTGGTATACTTGCATTACGGTTTAATCTTTCATTGCACGATCCAAAGGATCCTTGACTCATTCAATCCACTGACAGGATGACATTCAGCTGATGAGCTGCTATTTGATAGTATTTTTCATTTTAAATTCTGTGTGTGGTCTGAGGATTTATTTACCACATATTTCATAGTTAACAGACAGAATTTATTTTCTTATGTGCATTCCTCTCATACACACCACTACAGGATTTGCATGCTCACATTTATTAATTTAGTTTTGCAACACCTTAGTGGCCATTTTTATCTCCATTTTGCAGATGGGTAGCACAGAAATCAATGTCAAATTACGTACATTAATTTGAAAGTATACATACATTTAATGTGCATAGCATTACACAGTATTGACTATGCTCAAAGGATAGCATTCCTGGACTTCATTCGCAGGTGCTCTGAAACACTGTCTATCTGTCTGTAAAACAGATTTCAAGGTCTTAAATGACATACTGAGAAAAGTGAGGACAAACTGTGACCATCTATGCAAAATATTAATGACTTCACCAACAGCTCATTCTTGGATGTGAAGTTTAGGTGCCTTTACCATGAAGCTATCTGTTTTTACTTCATATAGTTCCCTGTTTCTTTCAACGGGCATTTTACCACTTCTGCCACAAATGAGGTAGGAGTTCTGCATCCTGCTGTCCCCTTCATTACACAGCTCTTTTGGTTAATGAAAGAGGAAAAAGGAAGAGTGATGTTTTAATGCTGGACCACTTAATGCATACATAAAAGGCGTCTGAATTAAGATCGGTGCTCCCTAACTTTGAAATGCTTAGTAATGCAATATCAAATGGTTTTACCAGAGCTTGTGATACAGTCTGCTAGACCTCAAGGAGGTAAACAAAAACCCAGGTATTTTACACGTGGCACCTACATGTACTGCCAACACTGTTAGCACCTCTAGATCTGTTGCTTTAGGCCTCTGTCCCTTAAGGTAATGGTGTAATTGAAAGAAGTAGCACTGTCAGCTTCTGGCCAGAAGAACATGGGACAACTTCCTGCTGGGTGTCACACTGGGGGTGTCCAGCACAGAAATTAGTGATTTAGTTTGGATCTATTGTGTGTTTTTGAAGCAAATGTCATGTTTGTCCAGATTTACAATGCTTTGGTTCACATTGTGGAATAGTCTTGGAGTGTATGAACTCCTTTCAGCTGAAACTAAGGCACAGATGCTCTTCAGGATCACGCTTAGTGAGCTCTGGTCACTAATGGACATTCAGTCCATAGGACCAGACAACTGTTGGCTAAAGTAATAACCCTCTGAGATGCCTACATTGGGAACATCAGGTCCTCAACACTTGCTGTTTATCTCTACAAATTCCCTTCTATTGTGCTGCTCCTGTTTTTCAGGCGAACATAGCCAAAAGTACCTGCTGAGAACAGGAACAATAAGATTTTGGAAATGTAGGTTCCATTCCAAGCAGAAAAGGGCAGAATATTTACCAGCTACCAGCCTTGCTGTCCAGTTGTTTGTCCAGTCTTTCCAAGTATGACTTCTTCTGTCTTGTCCCTTTCTGGTCTCAGGACTGCTCTACCTGCCTTTGGCTCATTGTTTCAGCTCTATTCTCCTTACCCAGTCATTTTCAATTTCCACTAGTTCTGCTTCTTATTCTAGTCCCACATTCTTGCCCTGCCATGTCCAAATTTTAGTCTTCTGGTTTCTCCATCCCATTCTGAGTTTCAATTCCAACCCTAGCTGCTTTTGCCCCTAGCAATTCTCCACTTTTCCATCAGTCTAGAACCTCTGTTCCCAGACCTACTCCTCAAATATCTCTCAAACTATCAGTTGCTCCTAGTATCAGGGTTGGGTTCAGTTCAGCATAAAAACATCTAAATACAGGTAACTGTATTGCAGTGTTTACATGTGTACCAGGCATCCAAATTCCCACCACACAGTCAGGAAAGATATATGCAATAAAGCCATTGGTGCTTAGAAAACTATTCAGCTGAAACAGCAGGTGACTGCTGTAAGATGGGTGAAGCTGCACTTCAGGCTCCACTAAGAACTCAATTGCCTAAGTGTAGGTACCTACTGCCATTTGAGAAACTCTAATCTGAGACATCTGCATGAGACTGGCAGATATGACAGATTTTATAGGATACCCACAACTTTCTGGCAAAGCAGCTGGAGGCCAGATGGGGATATACCACTGTGCCCAAAATTAAACCAGATGTCCATGTATACGGGCCAAATTCCACCTTGACTTCTTCAGTAGATTTCTATTGACTCTAATGGGGTCATCTGCACTTCTAATGCCTACTGCACCTATAGATTCCTACAAGTAAACTCCTAAAGCATGATTCTGGTGCCCATACATAAGTATCTGGTAATGTTAGGTTAATGGTTGGACTCAATGATCTTAAGGGTCTTCTCCAACCTAAATGATTCTATGATCTCATGCAACTTAAGATTGACATGCAAGCATATCCTGTTGTTGGCTGCTACTGGCAGCCCATGTGTTTCATAT